GTATATTTATTACCACTACCATTGTGGCCCATTGTCAGCACGCATCATCACCATTATTGCCCACCACAACCCACCGTTACCTACTACCATAACCCATCACAATTCGTCGTTGCCCACCATCGTCGCTAATCATTGTAACCCACGCCCACAACACCTACCACCATCGTCATTCACCACCACCCATTATACTATCATTCAAAAGCATCTGTTGTCACTCACTACCACCATTGTCACCCCCATCACCGTTGTCACTCCGCCGCCATCATCATTATTACGACCCATAGCTGCCACCACCACCATGGTCATCGCCACTCATTACAATCATCATCGTTTTCCACCTCTACCATTATCACTACTCACTCACATTACAACCGGTGCTTAAATTTTTTATTTTTTATTTTTTATGATTTATATTTGGGTGTGAATATAAATATGTTTATGGTTGATTATTTTTTTATTATTCTGTGCCTTCAGGTACAAGAAATAACTAGTTATTTCATATCACCATGACTTAAATTTGAATTAACTTTTGATTAAAAAGTTTGATTTGATACAAATAACTCCAACTAACAAACTTAAATTTAAAGAATGAAAAATTCAAATTCAAATAAGGACAAACCCAAATTTAAAAATAGTAAAATATGATATTTGAATCTTTAAAGAATGTTGAAATCTTACTATTAAAGATTTGGGTAAGGATTTGAGTATCCCTTAATTTGAATAAAAAAAATGAGTATCCCTTAATTTTTCTTAAGTTTTGAGCAGAATTTAAATAAATCATAAAAATAAATTTTTTTGAGTTAAGATAACATTGAAAATGGATCCAAAATGTCAAAAAACCTTAAGTTACACATTTGAAGTTAATTAGAAAAGTTAGGGAGAAAATCATAATTTCATGGGCTAATCTTGCACAAAGGAATTTGGAACAGAAATTTTAGCCAACATACTGCCTTTATAGCCGGTCTAGACCGCCTATGAAGTCGGTCGACCACCTTTCAACACGGTCGACAACTTCTTTGGTTTTTAAGTTAGTTTCTTCACCGACGTGCTATTTTCGCTCCACTATTAATATTCTTAACCAATTTTCTGCGCAACATCTTCAAGACCTCCTAAGAAAATCTAAATATTCAGAACAAAAAGAGGGAAAATAGGAGAGAAATAAAAATTCTAGCTGAGGTTTTGCAGCTGCAGAGTTTAACAACATTGATTTACAATTATTTCGTGTTTTTCTCTTCAGATGACATATTTCTTTTTGGATTCCTTATCAATGATATTACAAAGTTTAGTTATTTTCATTACATTATTTAACTGGGAATAGTTTTGTTTTTCTATTTAAACATGATTTATTGCATCCAATGTTGTTTAACGAATTTATCGATTTTACGATTTTGATACCTAAATTATTATGGAAAGGATGACATATTATTTTGATATAGATATATTGAGCTGGCTATTATTATTGATTTATTGGAATATTATTACTAGATTATTGTGAAATTATTATTTTGGCTTGATCTGAATGTATGGGTGTGGTATTCATGTTTGAAAAATCGGTTACTTAATTGCTTATGTGGGGCTGCAGATTCATAGTATTAGTTTTCTCAGCAATAAACTTTGTAGGATTTATTGATGGTGTGTCTATAAAATATTGGGAGAAACAGTGAGGAATACCAGAGGATGGTAGTTGCTTGTGTGGTTTCGAAAACAAAGAAGGACATAGTGTTTTCTAGGGTGAAGACCCCAAAGTTTCCTTAGGGGTTGGTACTGTTCATACATGGACTAGGTTTATATCTGTCTGATTATTGCAAATATTTTGACATATCTAACATGCATTCTATGTTTTATATCGCCAATTATGCATTTGATGTTGACTATTATATGCTACTATCAAATGTGACATTATCGAATTGTAGATATTTAGTAGTATTTCAAAACCTTGATATTGTTTGAGCAAAGTTATCATAGTGCACTTGTTAGCTTACTTCTACTTTGGAATGGATTGTCCCTCAAGCTGAAACACATGGGATTAAGACACTACCTAGAGGGGGTGAAAATAGGTTAATTCAATTTGACGGTTAAATAAATATCAATTTTAACCTAATTCAACCACAATTATCTTTTCTCCAATTAATTGGGCATTTAAGCATCAAAAGACCTTTTAGCAAGAACAATCCAAACCCGTCATGTAGGTTGATGTTATGGATATTGTCGTTTCAGGAGGGGGACAAACGTTGTGCATTTTTCCTCACGATTATACACGTGGACTGCACGACACTACCTAGAGGGGCGGCGATGAATAGGTGTTTCAATATTAAGCTTAACACTAATACTATTGGAACATACTTTAGGGACATAATTTGAAGACTTTATGCATTATAACCATTGGATTGATAGTGTTGGAATCTAGTGATAATTTGATATTGGGACCCACTGATAATCTAATGGCCAAAATCGTTAAGTCCTCAAATTTTGTCCTTAAATTATGTCTCAATAGCATTGCTCTAAGTTTAATCAAATACCAATTAAAACCTATTACAACCTCAATTATCTCTTTCACTTGAATTTAGCAATTAACGGTAAGAACCCATTTTCAACAACCACGACCCCTTTTACCCCTTCATAATTTATGTTGTTAATTTTTTTTAATTAAACATTCGATCTCACTCGAGGATCTCAAAGTGCAAAACCCAAAACACAACTACGGATGAAATAGATATCAACCAATCATTCATTCAAGTTACATAGTGCGTGTGTGTGCAAGCAATCACAAGTATATATACAAAAAAAATAAAGAACATAAGTGATTTGTTGATACGAAAAACCTCCTCGAAAAAACTGCGGGGAACCTCTACTAGTTCACCAAAACCTAATTCACAACCCCAAATTCAATATACCAGGACTCGAATCTTATACTTCAACCAATATCATGGTTAAATGCTATCGTTCGTTAATATGCCTGTCTACCGAAGTACTTCTCTGACATTATGTGTAACTTCACTTGGATTCACCTTCACAAAGGATCCTCTAGGCCTCAAGTGATCTTGGGTGCAACAACTATCCTTGGAATGCACACTCTAATGGGTTCAATTGAAACCATTCAAGACTTCCGCACCAAGTTGTGAGATTGGGTAGAATATCTAGAAGGTAGCCTTGAGTATTAGTGATCTAGGGTTATGGTGGAAGCTCTCTAGAGTATAAGGAAGATTTTTCTCTAAAAAATTAGTCTGAAGGCTTGCTCTATAGTAGGAAAGACACTCCTTACTTATAGGCTAAGAATAAAGGCAATCTTGGTCAACAAGAATACTCAAATTTTTGAATGAATGCTCGATTAGGGGGAGGGCGGTGGTTACTAGAATGAAAATCACATTTCAAACCAACCTAGGAGAGCAACTTCTCAAATGAACCTAGAGGGTGAGTCCTTTTCTCCTCCATTTGGCCTTTTCTTTTATTTTTCACTAAGTCATCAAGAGACCACTCTAGCGAAGGCTAGCGAGCATAGCTCGATCACTTCTGATTGTTTAAGCCTAAAACCAAGCAAAAACCTTATCTTCTTGAGCTTTAAAGGGTGTTGCTCAAGAGAGGTCTGATAATGACTCAATCTATGTTCTCAAAAACACAAAATGGTTCTAGAAAATAGAACTATTGAAAAAAACCTAGGAGCCACAAACAGGATTGTTTTCGATTCCATTTAATCCTAATACTCGTAAGTTAGCTACCAAGGAATCATTTTAGGTTACTTGATCTTTATTATACACACCCAAGTATAAGCGGTCAACTTGTAATATTCTAGGTAGAGTACAAGGTTGATTTCAAAGAGAGTTATCTATTGGAAACTTGGAACATAAAAGAATGAATGAAACCTAGGAAAAAAAATTGTGAAACAGTGAATTGTGGTGTGAGCTAAGTGATTTTAAAACAACTTTTTTAAAAACACGAATTTGCAACAATTAGAAAAAGTCACTCTTTAGTTTAGGAATTTGGACATGCATTTTATTGCTCGAGATTACGATATTGCTGTCATACTACAATTAACTTCCACGTTAATGGTAAGTTAATCATAAGATATTTAATATAAAATCATAGCACAACAACCGTTAGGTTAAACGGAATGTATTTGCACCATACCATAACCATTTTACCCTAGCAAATCCAAAGGTACAACCATTCAGAGGTTTATTGTGATAGCATGAGTGGAAATTCTATGTGTTAATGAAAACCATAGCTCTAGATTATGCATTGAATCAAAAACATTAGATATGCCGAGACTGAAACTGTCGATAACAAATCTCCTAACTTTTATATAAAACTCAACTTAGTACTTCATTATAGAACGCATGAAATACATAAAATAATAAAGATGGTACGAAAATAACATTAAATCCTTGCTCGGTACTTTCATGAACCATGAGCATAACCTAGGTTAAACATTAGGGATACAAAGTACAAAAAATTAAACGAAAGTACGGTCCATCAATTAAGAGAGGTATATAACAATAAAGTATAACTGAAAATGCAATTATCATAACTCAAGTAATGTTACACAAGTCCTTCCCACCTCACTAAAGAGCTAATGAAAAACTATCCACTCTTCATAGTCATAGACAACCTAGAAAAGTGAGTGATCGTCATTTCTCCAAGTAAGGTTGGTCTTACAATACAACACAATGAAATTAAAACAACATAATCCTAACTCGTCCCTGAGGTTAGATTGAAACAACACCACACTTCTTTTGTCAGGACAAGGCTAGGAAAAGTGAAAGCGGTTCAACCCTCCAGGTAAGAAGATGTCTTCAAGAAATGTAGAAGAGAGAGACTAGGCTAGGGAAGCCTTAAACTAGAAATTGAAACTGAAGAAATGGAGAATGATTTGAAAATTTGGCAGAAGAGGGGTATTTATAGTCCAATAGGGGTTGATCCGATGAGAAAACTGACCAATTAGAGTGTAGTAGTCACCAAGATGACGAATGAGGAAGAAATTTCATTTGAGTCAGTTTAAGTACCGTTTGAACTCTAGGGCACTGTCCAGATGGTGGCCTTTCTGTAGTTCTTCGGGCAATTGCTCCTTGGGACTTGTGCCAACCACTTGCTTCACCCTTCGGATGCTCCTCAATTCCAAACACTGACAAGTTTGAAACTTTCTTCTTTTTGCATTTTGGCCCTGCAACTTTAAAAAACTACACTTTAGTCCCTGTATTTCCAAAATCTTATAATTCCACCTATTAGTAACAATATCTTTTAATATCACCCCTTTAATACAAGGACTAATAGTCTGTGTCATTACCTTTGTCATGAGATTTAAGGTACATTCAGAGTATTCCCTATAGGACACATACTTTTGATACTAAAGCTAGTGTAGGGTTTTGTGCAAAATTACGTGAAATAAGGAGGAGTAAAGTGCATAAGCTTAATCAGGTAGGGGAGGCAAGTGTAAATACAAGTAAATCAAGGCTATATCAAGCAAGCAAGTAAGAACCAGAGGATTATCATCGTTTGGATGGTGCTGATGGAGTCTGGACGGTAGGCAAACCGCCTCAACTTTCTTCCTTCCTTCCATTGGTCTAAAGTGCAACAAAGGTCCCTGATTGGTCAGCCATGCCTAAACCGCCTTAAGGGCCCCTCCAGCGCCTATAAATAGTAGCTTCTAGCTTCAATTTTGAAACATTCTGGTGGAGGAGAGTTCGAAGGATTCCCCAGAGAGTCAGAGAGACAACGAGGAAGAGAGAAAGAGGGAAATAGTGAAATGAAGCCCTTCCGAACCACTTTCCAGCCAAAGAATCTCTATTTCTAAATTTCTGTTCATACCTTTTTACTTAGAGGGTTGAACCTCTCCCACTTTTGTGCCCTAACTGGTAATAAGAGTGGTAGTGTTTTAGCTATTCCTCGGGGAAGGATTTAATTTGTCTTTTATTTTGATTGTAATGAGGATACTTCACACCTTTTGTTCGTCTATAGCAAACAGGTGTGAGTAGTCCGTTTATACCCTTCAGAGAAGGATGAACACATATATGATATTTTTAAGTTATAAAAATGCCGATATTTTAATTATGCTTTCATGTTATAGACCTCCCTTATTGATGGATGGTTACATTTATAATATGTTCATGGTTATGAACACCGAGCGATACTTAATGCTATATACCATACTATCTGTATTTATTACGTACTTCTTGTATGATACAGTGATGTACGTAATTGAGCTTTATGTAATAGTCGATAGATTGGTTATAGATGGGTTAAGTCTCACCATAGCGAATGCTTTTGATTCAACGCATAAACCAAAACTTCGTCATTAGTGAATCATCAACCTGCGAGTTGAATAACTGTAGTATTCATCCTGAATGGTTTGCCTTTTGGTTTACTAGGATTATTTAATTGTTGCATGGAATAGATACCTTTTGGCTAATCTAATAACTTGTTGTGCTATGGTTCAATATACGTCAAACCTATCGGTTGACTTTCTACTAAAATGGGAAATAATTTGTTAAGGTGTCATTTCCAATAACTGAAACAATATAATGCATTTGGGATCCCTGAACTGATGGGTACTCTTTTAATATTGTCTTTCAACAGTTTTAAATAAGTGTTTGTTTAATTGTTCTAAGCTCATACCATCAAGTCTAGAGTGATAGGCATCATATGTGTTTCAAATCAGATCAGATCAGGCTTCACACTATTGCATCAAGTCTAATGTGCAAATGAATAGATTATGGTATCACTCTAGACTTGATAGTATATGATGCCTATCACTCTAGACTTGATAGCGCCATACCCAGGCTTCACGTTGTTGCATCTGAGCTATATGGAGCTCTGACCTAATCTGATATGAAACACAAACTATTGGGGGGGGATAAGCACAACACATTTAGTGAATGTACACATTCATATAACAAACAACAACTAAAATACACTTCCCATATCAACATTCAACTATTTAGTATAAATGTATAATCACCAAAAAACCATTGTATGTGAACATTTATATATACGATGCAAAGGCTTATAATGAATATGTATACACCGCATATTATCATCATATCCAAATAATAAATAAATAATCATCATATCAACTATCATTTATATATTCTTCATAATACTAACATCATCCCATCAAAATTAATTGAATATTCACCCACAAGCCATTATATATGACATTGATATATAAATATTCACCACTAAGGTTATTCACCTACCTTTAAGGCTATTTAGCACAACACAATACCATCAAAAGTCAATAAAACTATATGTTTGCCAATAAGGTATTTAGCATATTCATAATGATATCATCAGCTAATATTCCACACAGTTAAGCATCAATAATGAATAGGCATGCTTTTGTCATTATCAATTTTATGAAATAGCATACTCACCTTAAGTCCAATTGTAACTCAAAATTAGTCCCCAAACAAGACTTTAGACGTATCTGACATTGGTGTCGTCACCTTCGTTCCTACCACATATTGTAACCAATCACATATAAGCATCCTCTATACATCCATTATGTTATAAATGCACATGTATGGATGCTCAATCATGCTTGGGTTGATGCATTATCAATTCTCTCCCAAAATAATATAACATGACCACCTAAACTTCACGTACTAATTACTCATCTCTCATAAACTAAATTTGGATTCAATTCTTAAACAATGTAATTGTAATCAATTAATTCAAAAAGTGTTATATTGAACTCAATTGAATACCCTAGAAAGTTTTAAGGGTGACAGGGTTGAAAACCAAGAATATCACAACAAGAACAGGAAGTTAGACAGAATGTACTGGTATAAGTCTTACTGGTTCTTCGATGTATTAGTACAAGTTTTGTTGTATTAGTTCGTTCCAAGGTAGAATGCCTTTTGCTTGTCCCTTAAAGTGGTTAACCTAAAATAATTCCCAAGCGCAGAAAAATATTTTGTATATTAACTAGGAAAATACTGATAAATTCGAATGGTGACAAAATTAAAATAAAAAAAAAAACCCACTGATTTAAAAGTAGTGGTGATGATCAATAAAAACTAAAAGACTATATTAAAATGAACCGACTATCATCAAAGTTCATCTTATCATGAATATGAAATTTGACCTAATTTTATAACTCATCCAAGACCGTAATCAAACTCACTTGGAGGAGAATATTCAACTAAAATTTAGAATGTAGAAAAATATATATTTTATGATGGAATTAATTTATGAAAGAATTCATATCATATTGATTATAGGGACTCTAAGAATTAACCGTGCCAAATTTAATTATCTACGACTAAACAAAGGTGTTTATAAATCAACAATTTTTTAAAAATCAATGACTTCAATCAATAAAATAATAATAAACATTGAAACCCTAGTTAGGTGAAAATTGCTGATTCATGAAAAGTAAAATCAAAAGCAATTATGAAAAAAATTATAATTGAAAGATAAATAAAGACTTATATTTAAAATAAACTTCAATTAATAACTTTATATTCAAAACAAAAATTAAACGCAATTACAAGAACAACAAATTAAAAGCACTATAACTGCTAATCGAAATTGAATACTACTTGTAAAACTAAGAAGAACTTGTGCTTTGCTATAACTATAATCAAACGTCGAAGAAGAAGGAAAAATTCTAAGGAAGACGCCTAGGGAAGAAATTTTCAAAGAGAAGCTTGATCAACCAATGATGGCTCTCTCTCCTCAATCCCCATTTTTAAAGGAATGGTAGGAAAGATTCGGCCAATCCATGGAGTCGCTGTGATGTCCCTAAAATCAGGGGTCATTTATTAACCATTGACCTACCGTCAACCCGCGGAAATACCCATGGTAGTCGCACGACTCGACTCCACGCTAATAAATCCCCTTTTACCGGGATTTCAACTCACATGTAAAACCCATGTTCATTTTATCCTTTGATCCAACCATGGTGAAATGTACCACAATTCATGCTCCATTATAGTCCATTTGTATCCTTGGAACCCAAGAACCCATAGCCCAAAAGTTTGGCAAAACAGTTTTAAAATTTCAAAATTTTGGAAAGAGTACCAGTACTCAGTACCGGTACACTTTGCTCACTGGACCTCGTTGTATTGGTACGCAGTACCAGTACTAATTGCCCACTGGACTTTAGAGTATCGGTACACAGTACAGGTATCAATTGCCCACTGGACTTCAGAGTATCGGTACACATACTCTTGGCCAACTTTTGCCTATTTCTATTGTTTTTCATTTCCAATTTATTCCAAACCATTCCAACACCATCTAAAATATGTTTAATGATGTTTCTCATATAAAACTTGATATATACAAGTTCTATTACAAACCATTCATACATTACATGTTCAAAGCACACTTTCTCAATAATTTTATAAAAACTCGGTTCAAAAGCCACAACCCGACTTTTCTTTATCTTTGGAACTCCGAAAGAGACCCGTCCACCAGAGCGTATCCCGCATCTGAAATGTGTTCCCGTATAGGGTGAGCAACGCTCAGTAGAGTATCCCTTACAAAGGCTATTCCCCCTCCAAGATGTATATGTAATGAGTACATGCAACAATCCACCATCCAAAATCCATTCCAATAAGAACAAGTAATTCAATGTTGAAAAATCATCATGCCATGCCATGAAATGAGATGAGACTCACTCACGCACTTTAACCGAGTCCACTCCAGCTCCCACAACACTATGTAATGCACATGTGTTTATAAAACTAAAACATTTTCTTTGAATGTTACCCATTTAATGGGTACTTTATAAAACAACAACCATGTGTCTTTATTGGGTATCGAATTTTGGAATCACACCACTAGCTCCGTACGTTATTACACTTTTCTGAAATTTCACCATAGGGGAGTGTATAAATCAAGTAGCCGGGTCTCTCATCCGAGGGAGAATCTACCCCCTTTTGCTATACCATACACTAGTTTTCCTTTAATGTAACCATGTGACTCCCCAGGATCTTCGATCCCACCCTTACGAGTCCACATATCATTCACCAAGAGTGGTGTTGGATCAACTATGCACACACACACCCACACTCATGTCTTATGCCCATGAATGTGACCCCAATTCATACTCAAGATGCAATGAATGCCATATGAATTAATTCAACCACATATTTCAACATATGTCATGGCAAGTTATATATTATGCATATAATTACCATCTTTTTCTTTTTTCACAAT